ACACACAAAGTCACTTCTCCCTCAACTGCTGGTCAAAGGCAGGTCAAGTGGGGTTAGTGCTGCCTGCTAACGATTCTGGCCTTTTCAGGCTGGTATTGTTTGTGGTGCTGCTGCTGTTTGGACCCAGTGTTGGCACTGGAGGCCGAGCTCTGCCTCTTTGGTGGTGTCAGGTTGTGCTCCCCTCGGTGCTGGGTGACATTTTGCCTTGCCAGAGATGTGTGGCAGGAGGAGGATTGGGTCTGTGCTCAGTGCTGGTGGCACGGAAGACTAATGAATATTTCTGCAGTTTAGAAAAAAAGGAAGCTAGTTAAAGCTTCACTTTGTCACTGGAATGTGAGAGTTGTTTTCTTTTGAAATTTTGTGTGAAATAAGTTTGCTAAAAATCCAATATTCTAAAACCTAGAGCCTCAAGTACCATGAGGTTTAAGGAAATGTTTTCTATTTGGTTTGAGTCTTTGAAGACTCATTACCAGACTTTCTTCTGTATTATATTATAAGAATATACCAGCTTCTAACTGAATGTTGTGTGTTCAATGAACTTGTTGCAATGAATGGTAAACTGGGAAAGGGCAAAAATGCACCTGTATTTGGGGTGCATTGCTGCCCTTTTGTGAACAAAGAACAAAACCAGAATTTATCACAGCAAGTTGGGGCTCCCTACTTTGAGATGTACAGAAGTGTATCTGCAGCTTCTGCCCAAAAGGGGGAAAATTTTCTGTTCTGTGCTTTTCCCTGTGCCCAGCCCAAGTATCACCTCGCCCGTGACCATTTCAAATGTTTTTTTTCTGCTGCCTCGCAGTGTCTGAATGGGCACAGGCTTCTTCCCAGTTAACATACAACAATCCCTTGTGCTGACTGCTGAACTCTGATCTCTGGCTGGATGCACTCTCGTTTCTTTAAGCACATGTGGTGCAGAGCAGACCTGGAGCTGGGTAATTCATAAGAGCTGGGTGTTGTTATTGGTGTTACTATTACTTGAATGAGGCTGTATTATTTTGCACAGCAGTGTGGTCACCTGGCAGCAGGTCATTAGCATGTTGGGTTTCTTTCCCTCACAACAATGCACAACATGCTAATTAGAGGGTTTTGAAAGCTAAGCAACCCGGTTTAAAATCAGACATTTTAATTTGCAGCTTTAATGGCTATATTATAATAACTGGCTTGGCTCGGGGGCGAAGGGGAGAGGAGCACTTCTCATGTTCCAGTAGAAAGGTCCAATATAACAGAGGCTGACAAAATTAAAAACCTCATAATTTGACCTTTGCCTGGGATAAAAGGCTGTTTCATAACAATTTCCTTTTGTTCTTTGTTTAAGCCATTACTCCAAAAGGAGCCTCCGATTAATCTAAGTAAATGCATCATTACAGTCCTAATCCATGTCCTTCTGTCAGTGTCTGTTTTAATTAAATAAGAAACACTAGCAGAAAGATATCACGCACAAAGCTGTGATTGGAGAAAGAGGGCTGTTTGATCAGGGTGAGATTAAAAAAGGCTTTACTGTTTTGTCCTTTTGCTCTAGATGCCATAATGTAGGTTAAAAGGAAGAAAACTTGCCTAATAGTTTAGCACGTTGCACCCCATTACAATATCTAAATAACCAGATTTGCCCATGAAACTGTCTCAGACACTCAATTAATTATATACAGAACATTCACAAACAGATGATATGGCAACTTGGCTTGAGTAATTTGACACATTAATACATTTTGGGACTGTGTGCACAGTTGGCCAGAAATTGTAGTCAAGTTGCAGGTTTTTTTTATATTAAATAAAACATTGATTAGAGGTAATATTTAGGTGCTTTCTTTCTTTTTAGTACTTGTGGCTCACAAATTGTAAACATGATCAACTGCGAGCCCCTGATTTTTTTTTTTTTTAAAAAAAAACATTTTTGTTTCTTACAAAAGCAGAACAATTATTTTACAGTGGTGAAGGATTGAAGGATCCATTTAATAAATGTCATAACATCCAAGTAGTTAATATTGCTACAGCAATGCATATGTAAGAGACTCTTCCTCAAGGTAGTGTTTCAAGATCCCTGTGGTGAGGGTTTTCTCCCATATCCAGGCCATTATTTGATGTAATGAAAAGAGAAAGTGTGCAACACAGAGATTGTTAATTAATTTAGCCTAACAAGATGAAGATAAATGAAGCAAAGCATGGATTGAATGAAGCAAGAGGTCTTATTTACAATTTAATACTACTTTATATTAGGCATTTTTCAATTTACAAAAGAAAGGAATTTAAAGAAAAGGTGTTCTGCAAATGCATACAAGATTTTTTTTTATTTTATGAGCAGTTCCTAGAAGTGCTGAAAATATCTTTTGGGTTAACCTTTAAGTTTTTTTCTCCTTTTATTTTTCCCCCCTTTTCACAATTAGTTTTCTCAGTTTGATTTAAAATATATGGATAGAAATGAGAAAAATTCAACCCTGAACTTTTCCCCATTGAAATCAATAGCAAATTACTAGTGGAAACTCTTACAAGCCCAAATGCTACAGTTTTTCATTGTTTATATTAATCTAGAGTCCTAGCTTATTTTTGAGGAATTTGTGTATAGAAAAATGAATTAAGAGGCATGACAATAAAAATACAATAGGATGTGATTTTAGTTTGCACCCCAGAGTGTAAATCTATTGTTGTTTGTGTTTTCAGCTGTCCTACTGCAGTGAAAGGTAAGAGAGGAACCCTGGATAGTGTTAATTAACAATGATTTTATGTAATAAAACTATTATTTTTTATTTGGGAGAATATTTTTTTCTCAAGACCATGTTTGTTTTAAACATGTGTGAAAAGATGTAGTTTCTAATTTCTTAACAATTAAAAAACCCCCAAGATTCAAAGGCTTGTCAGAGATTTTTGGATGTCTCTTCTTCCCAGATTTAAATAAAGACGATCCAAAGCTAAGAGTAAGCTTCAATTTGCATCAGTTCAGTCACTGCATCTCAAGGTGTATTATTCAGTTTCCAACTGACAAAATTTAGGGTACAATTCTGCAGAGGTGAAGGGAAAAAAACAAGGTCTGTAATTTTTAATATCTAAAAACTAATTAGCAAAGAAACGTCTGCTGTGACTGATTAGAGATACCTTTATCAGTTTATCCTAAACCCTGAATTGTAAATGATGACCAAGCATATTAGGCCATTTAAAAAAAAAAAATAAATAAAAATCCTCATTTTTACAGATGAATTGGGTCTGTCCACTATTTGACCTTCTGCCATGATTGCTGTCTGCAAAGGAAATGCCTTCCTTCCTTTTGCAGTAGCTAGACAGGACAGCCTTATCTACAAGCAGTGTCACTACAAGCAGTGGTCTCCACAAATAGCATTATTATGGTCTCTGTGTTTTTATCTTGGGGGTCATGAACAAATCCATGCAACTGCTTCTAAAGATTTCAATAAATAGGACTTTTTATCCAGACAATTGGCTTTTATATTACTTTTAAACAAAACTACTAGTCCATCAAGAGTTTCAAAAGGAAAACAATTCTACAGAGTGCTGGTATGGCAGCACAGACCAATCATTATGGCACCCATTCTCCAGTCCTTTATTTTTCAAGTCCACAACAATAGGTTGTTGATTCAATGGACAAGACCAGAACAATTAAGTTCTCTGTTTAGCAGCAGTGCAGCATTTTAATGCCCTCCTCTAATAATGGTCTCATTATTGTTATTCTAAGACTGGGCCTCAGGAGGAGGAATATTTGCTGGAGGTACGTCATTATTTTGCAAATTTCGATTAGCTCATCATGTTGTCTGTACTGTGAAAATCGTAGCTAATTAGGGCAGTCAGTTAGACTACCAGCTTTTGAGCTTATGAGTTAAAAGGTAGCACACTTGATAGGCCAATGATGTGAAAAAGGTGGTAAAAAGAGGGATTAGAGCTGTTGCCTTAGTAACTCTAACTTCCATCTGTGCGGGAACAATGGACCTGTGTTTCTCCACCACCTTGGTGTAAAAATTGGTTTTGTTTCGAAAGGAAGGGGCTTTTTATGACAATCTGGAATTCAGCCTAACGGGGTGTAGTTTTAGTTGTTAGAAGAGACCATTGGAGGATAGGAAAGATGAAAGGTCATGGCGAGCTCCAAGGACATGAAAGGTCATTGTCTCTCGTAACAATAGTGGATTGTTTGGTCCCATTATTTCCAGCCAACTACTCAGTCAGGTGATAGAAAAGATACTACCAGCTTAGTCAGGTGGAACAGGGGAGAAAGATAATGCACCCAATACCGAACAAAAGATAACTATAATTCGCCTTTATTAAACAAAGTTGCACTTATTTGTGGCCATCCTCTGAAGAGGGTTGTTTACTGACTTACTATTCCAGCCTGCTTTGTTCAGCACTGCCTCTGTAGGCCATCACATCTCTGGGAAGCAATCCAACGTGTTAGAAAATGTTGTTTAAGCTCTCTTCCCATGAAGAGAAGCCCTCAGGAGTACCACTGATGTGATGCTTAACAATAAATTTAGTTGTTGTAGCTTTCTCACGTTATTGGCGTTCCTAAAAGGTTTTCCTTCAAACGCAGAATAAAATTAGCCATAAACATGAAATAAATTTGCTTCAAAACTTGATAGCATTTTATCATAAATTCTACAGCACACATTGCAGAAAGTTTACAGCAAACTGTATTAGGCACTGCTGAACAGAGAGCAGAGACCCATAGTTGTGTAAAAATAGATTAGCTATAGGACTACTCTTATGCAAAGGGAAATAGATAAAGCCTCATCTTTAAAGTCTCTATGCAGAAGCTTTGGGAGACTCTGTGCCTTTGTTTTAAGGAAAAAACCAGAACTACTGCTGTATTATTTAATAAAACAGCTATAGCAGAGGTCATGAGGAAAGCATTTCTGTTAGTGAATAGAGCCATCACCTCTTATAAATATAAGAGCATCCAAATCCCCAATTCACTGTTTTTCAGAAAGAAGACTTTCCCCTCCACCTTTTTTATTTCCCTGTTTTTGTAACTTTATGCCTTAGGCATCCATGCAACAAGTTTATTTTTCTTTTCCTCTTACCTCTGTCTACAATCAAAGCACATCCCAAGGTCCATCACCTATGGACTAAAGACTAATTTCTTTAGGTGAGAATTTCCAGAATATTCCACATTCTCATGAGATCTCTGAACTCTTCTATCAGGTTTGTTTTATAATTTTTTTTACTCATTTCACAACAGAGCTGCCAGAGCTGTGTTGAATTTTTATGAAACTGATAACATATATGTAATTTATATGTAATTTACAACATGTATGTAACTATTATTACACTTGAAAATAAAAATTATATACAATTTTTTTAGGTATCCCATCTTAAACTGTTCTGACCTCATTTGAACTCCCCTTTTTAGCTATTCTGGGGCCTCTCTTATCTCATTTTTACTCCTGGCCACTCTTGCTCTTGCTTTCTGACAACACAGATGGGTGGCCTTGCACAAACTGATAACTGTGGCAATTTCTCAGCACTCTATTCACTAATAAAAGATGTTATTTTCCGAATTAGGCAGGCATGTGCCATAGTTGCTCAGTGGCTGAAGATGAGAGGTCGGGCTGTGGCTGCCTGGCAGTCCTGTGAGCCATTGGACTTTACAGCTCCCAGGTTGTTGATGCATTGTTTTACCAGCAGCTAGGTTAAGTAATTAGAGTCTGTCAGGGAAAGGAAGTCCTGCTTAAAGTGTTTGTAAGCTTTTAGTTTTTTAAGGTAATCGATTCTTAATTTTTCTCTTCAGTTTGCTGTTTAGTTCTCATTTATGTGCTTTGTTATTTTTGTGTTGCAATGAGCCGAAGAGTGTAGGCTGCTTAGTTGAAAATGGGAGCCCTGCAAAGGGTTAACCAGCAGAGAATTACAAATGAACTATCAGGAAAGTTGATTATTAATCCAGCAAGAGAGAAAATATCCTTCCAGTTAGCAAGAATTAGTACCTGAAGAGCTGATAATATTGTTCGGGCTGTCGGTGTGGAATGGCAAAACCAGGTAAGCTAATCATCTTCTCAAAGGAACAAAATCTTTTCTTTCTGTTTTTCATTATAAGAGAGTTTAGTTTTTAAAAGGATCTTTGTTATTTTACTTAAAATATCAGCATGTGAAACAGCATATGCTGATCCTCCGTTTCCTCAAATGAATGAAAGAAATTAAACTTGTGTTTACCTTTGGTAAGAAGATCCATTTCTAAGCCATATTTCTGATCTCCACACTGTATGTAACTGTGAAATATCATAACAATTCTTTCCTGGTTTGTGGTTAAGTGTGAGAACTGATTACAAAACCTGAAGAGTCCTTTGCAATTGCAAGCTAATATATTACGTAAGTCTGTCTTTAGTTGAGCTTAGACATATTGTGGGGGTTTACAGGAACTTTTATGTTGCAGAGCTCTTTCAGAGTCATTAGATTTCAGTTTTCACACTGTATGAATGATTTATTTAAGTTTGCTTTGATATTGTGAACACATTTCTGTTAGTTAAAAAGCTGCCTTTTTTTTTTTTTTTTTTTTTTTTTTTTGTGTGTGTGGGGTTTCAAAAATCTATGATCTGGGGTTAGAAGGAAATGGATGTTTGGTAAACATACCACTGTGTTTATACAGAGAAATGCAAATGAAACCATTAGGTCAGTTGAATACAATCTCATAATTTTGGTAATTTTTAAAAAAAACTTAAAGCCCTATCTTGGGAAAACTTTCAAATTTGTGCCCCCGATACTAATAAGTGGATACGATAAGTATTAATGTTTTTCAATGTAATCTTCACTATTTAGCTTATTATAGGAGTTGTGTAAAAGTTTTTAAATGGTAGTCGAGTACTGTGGAAACCAGAAAGTCTGTACTGGAAACCAGAAAATCTGTATACAGCATTTGGTAACTTTTTCTAATTGTGTGCTGTTACTTCAACTAGTAGCACTTAAATTCCTGATGAACTTGTGGAATAGAATTCAATATGCACATGATGTGACTGCAGTATCTGTCTTGGTGAAAAAGAGTCCAGATTTTATCCTGCTGTGTATGAAATAGCCTGAAAGCTGTATGAAAGGGATCGTGGCGATACAAGAAGGAAAATATGGATAAAAAATATGGATAAAAAATATGGATAAAAAATATGGATAAAAAATATGGATAAAACTGACAGCACTCCAAATTTAAAAGGCTGAGTCCCTGCAGTTCTACGGGGTAACTTCTCACGAGCTGTGGAGAAAGGAGGAAACCTTTGAATTTTGAGAAGGGGATGAAGATATGGCCTGGGGCAAAGGAGAAAGAGAAAGGAAGAAGAGGCAGTGGGGAAAGTGAAAGGGAGAAGTGGCTGTGACAGCGTCACCATTCCACATGTGACTTTGGCCTCCTGGAGCACAGGGACAGCTGGTGGCCAAGAGCCCTGGAGGGCAGCTCAGCAAATTAAAATCCTAGAACTTGCTGCTGGTGGTGGCATTTTGGGAGCTCTGCTAAATATTGAGAGGCAAATGTCTTCTCCAGGCGTGTTTTAGCTGCGTGTTTTAAGGTGAGGGGGGGAAAACGTAAATAATCTGCATTTTCCTAGCTTGAACACCAGCATCTAGGAAATGTATAAAGAGCAAGAAACCCAATGATGAAAAAATTATCGCACAGGAAATGATATACGTAGAAAAAACGAGATTGTAATTAGTGGAGGAAAGTAAGAAACTGATTAGAGAAATGAAATTTCCCAGATGTTTAAGGAAAAAATGGAAGTTAAATTAGATAAGCTCTTTTAACTAGTATTGGAGAGGAATGCTTCCTTCAGAATGGGAAAGCTAAACTTAAAATTAGAAAAGAGCTGGCAACTTGAGTTTAGTTCAACTGTTTTTCCTGCACGAGTGACTCTTTGGAATGCTCTGCTTGGAACATCATCAGGAACAACTTGTATAGAGCTGCTGGGGAGAAAGTAAAACACAAAATGAAACTCTCTGTATGCTTATTTGGAATGATTAAGGTGATTATATTACTTATGTGTGTACTAACCCACAAATTAGACAAATTGGTTGGATTTGGAAGTAGTATTTCAGGATTTATTGTATTTCATGTATATATGCACTTGACACTTGAGCTCTAGCACTGTCCTGGTACGACTGGTTCATTTTAAAATTAATTGTAAGCATTAGTTTATTGACAGAATCCTAAATCATCAAACACTACCTGCAAATGAACAGAAACAGTCTTGATCCCCCTCAGCTATAAACCAGTGTAAAATAACTGTTATTTAACTATTATTATTTATATCAGCTGGGATAACAGTAATGTTCTTAAACAAAAGATATCAAGCAGAAACTCTGGAGTTTTTGTGTCCATTCCAGTGACTTGTTTCAACAACACAATAGTGTAACCTGTGAAAAATGTCCCCCTACAAGGCAGTTTAGCTGGCACCACTGCTTTTGTGCCAGTTCCTGTTCTCAGCTGTGTATTGCAGGAAAAAAAAAATGGAGAAAAAAAAACCCAACCAAAAAAAGTTAGACATGTCTGGAATAGGTTGATAAGAACATCATCTGATTTACTGGAACTAGTTTGACTGAACAGGGTGTTCATGTTAAATAAAATTGTATTTTCTTCAAGGCAGACTGTGTAGATCCCAAGCTGTTAGAAGGCTTAATGTCGAGGAGAGATGAAGTTCCAGAGGTGTCTGACTACCTAGACACACATCTGGAAACACAGCTGCAGTTAGCATGCAGCAGCATGTCACTGCATGGTTGGTGCAGTAAGATGAGATGATGTGGAGGGAGGAGCATGAAGATCTATATGTTGCTTGATTCTCTACGTTATAAAAAGCTGTTAGCAGCCAGGAGGAAGCTTGTCTACACAAACAGATGGCCAAAGCCAAGTTTGGGCCAGGTTATTTTTGTTTCTTGGGCCACACCTTGTCTGTGGTGACAGTGCTGGAGAGAGAATGTGTTTCAGTCCATTAGGAGCTCGGTGGAGCTATATGGATAACACTGAAGTGTTTTATAAGATTCAGTGTGAAGCTGCAGAGTTCAAGGAAGCTCATGTCCTATTAGCTCTGGCTAAGGTCAGTTATCCACACAATGAGGGGGAAACTCTTCCATAAACAAGGAGATAAATACGGTGCAGGTGGTGCTTAGCCTTGCTTCAGGCTGTGATATTACCAGAAGAGCTCACAAAAACTCCAGCTTCTGCAGAGCCCTTATGGAGCATCAGCAGCATGGAGTGGTCAGATGCAAAATTACAAGGTTGTGTCATGGAAAAAGGAGAATTCAGGGCATTTTCGTGGCTTTGCATACAGCTGTTTATCTCTGCAAGGTACTAAGGAGAGAATATAGAATCATTAGATCTCTCCTTCTCAGAGAAAATAAATTGTAAAATGCTAGAGCTGAAAAAACAAATTGAATGCACCTCATCTAATCATCAGAATAAAACAGGCCTAGTGTCTTATGGATTTTGTTTTCTGCAAACTCTGTAGTGTTCCATGTGTTTCCAAAAAGCTGGTTAGATATGTGGGTGTTTATTAGCACTTGATCCGTGTCTAATAACAGAGAAAAATCATATAGAACTTCATTTTGCCTTTGGGGCTATCATTTTTATTGTTTTATGGAAAATAATTATATTTTAAGCAGCTGCAAAAAGAGAAGAGCTTGAAGAGTTAATTGAATCACATGCTGCTAAAGGAAAACATTTTCTTTCCTTTTTTTTTTTTTTTCTCAACTGAAGTAGGAGTTACATGTGTTCCTTATTACACCCAACATATTCCAGTAGTTTTTTAAAAAGACATACTCATGAAGCACTGTATTTTCAGAGACACATTATTTTCAGCTACCAAATTCTGGAGCAATCCACCATGTGCCATTTTTTCACCTTCTGAATAGAGTTCTGTGGCTGTAGAGGATGATAGCACATAGCATCCACAGAACTGTAAAATGAAATCCCCTGCCTGTCTTTACTCCACAGGTTTTGGGTGTATTTTTATAGATGCCAGAGGAAAATCTGCTGGCATTTCTTTCAAAGATAGCACAAATCAGTGTTGGTGTAGTTCTTAATTATTCTGTGGTCTTTAGGCCAAATGTTTAAATGGTTGTAAAAAACACACAAAAACAACCAACCAGGACAAAACCCACAGCAAATTTCCTTTGACTGCAATCACCCAAGTTTGTGAGAGCCAAAGGACAGCAAACTGAGTGTTTTCCCACAAGTGGGTCTCTTTTATGGGCTGGGCTGAAGATGTGCAGGTGTTCAGTGTCAGGGGCAAACAGGGGTGTTCAGAACAAAGTGGAGATTTTTTTTTTTTCAGGGCACTTTCTGCTTCAATAGGTCAAACAAGGAAAAGGAAACTCGATGGTGCTGGGAGGAGGCCAAAGCTGGGCACTTCAGCTGCACATCCTTATGGCATTTCTACCTCTGAACAGGAATGGATAAAGTAAAAAATATAAACCAGTTTGTCTGCTGTCTAATAGCTTATGCTCATATACAACTTTCCTGTCATTTTACACGTGTTTAAACCTCAGTGAGCATTGCAGTAGCCAGATACCAATTGTTTATTTTTTTTTTTTTCCAAAGCAAAGTTTTCATCAGGACTGTGCTTGTCTAGTTCCAATTTAAAGAATTGTTCTACCTTCATATTAACTTGGTTTTTTAAAAAGCCACATTTACAAGCATACACCCCACTTTTTTTCATGAAAAATGTGAGCTAAATCACAAATGTCCTTGCTCTTGCTTTACCAGGGTAGGCTTTTAGCATTTATTGAGGTAATATATACGGTTTACCAGTGTTTATACTGAACCTTTCTTGTCTGTGATTTTTCAATAGACTGCTTTCCCTTTGGAAAAAAAGTATTTTTGGGATGTTGCCGATTCATCTTTCTACTTTTCCCATCAGCTGTATTCTGTTTAACACTGTCACCACCTTAGCGAGCAGAGCGCTGAGGGAAAACAAAGCGGCTGCTGGTGACCCGGTGACAACTGTCTGCTAAACCTGATTACCGACCTAGGGCGTTGTTTAATCTAAAGGCCAAATAAAACCCTGCAG